CCCAGCCCCGCAGGCGGCGCCGCCGGTGCCTGGCGGCTCGCCGCGGCGGGTCATCGTGCAGGCGTCCACCGGCGAGCTGCTGCGCTGCCTGGGCGATTTCGTGTGCCGACGCTGCTACCGCCTCAAGGAGCTGAGCCCGGGCGAGCTGGTGGGATGGTTCCGCGGAGTGGACCGCTCGCTGCTGCTGCAGGGCTGGCAAGACCAGGCCTTCATTACGCCCGCCAACCTGGTGTTCGTGTACCTGCTGTGCCGCGAGTCGTTGCGCGGGGATGAGCTGGCGTCGGCCGCCGAGCTGCAGGCCGCCTTCCTCACCTGCCTCTACCTCGCCTACTCCTACATGGGCAACGAGATCTCATACCCGCTCAAGCCCTTCCTCGTGGAGCCCGACAAGGAGCGCTTCTGGCAACGCTGCCTGCGCCTCATCCAGCGGCTCAGCCCCCAGATGCTGCGGCTCAACGCCGACCCCCACTTCTTCACGCAGGTCTTTCAAGACCTCAAGAACGAGGGCGAGGCCGCCGCCGGCGCCGGGGGTCCACCCAGCGGGGGCGCGCCCGCGGCCCCCTCCTCCTCCTCGGCCGCCAGGGACAGCTGCGCGACCGGAGCCAAGCACTGGACTATGAACCTGGACCGCTAAGGGATTCCCAGGGCCGCGCCCGCCCCCCACCCCCATCCCAGCCCCTGACACGCACTCGGAGCCCCCGGGACCATCAAGCCGCCGCCGCTGTTATCGCCGCTCCGCGCCGCGGCCGGAGGAAGAGCCGCCCCTGTCCCGCAGGGGAAGGTGGAGGCCAGGACGCCAGAGGCCGCGGCTCTGAATATGCTAGGCATAGGGTGGGGGATGCGCGTGGGAGGGGAACCCCCAACCTCACCCTTTCTGTCTGCCTGTGCCCCATGTCTTCAATTCTACCTGGGTCTCCTCCTTCCTTTCTGTGTGCGTCTCTAAGTCCATGTCCCTTGGTCTTGACCATTTCCCGGCCTTCTTCCTCTACCTTCATCCTCCGGTCTGCCTTCGCATCTGCCTCTCTGCCTTTCCATTTTCGGTACCTTGGGTGTGTATTTCCGTCTCCATCTTACCCCCCACCTGACTACCTCTCATTGCTCCCGTTTCTCTTTCTGCACCTGTGTCCCCAGCTCCCCTTCTTGTTCTCTTTTTCTCCTGCCTTCTGGCATGTGTCACCATCTTCCCTCCTGTCTGCTCCCCCCCACCCCCACCTATGTCAGCTTTGCATTTCTTCCCCCGACGGAGCCCCCTTATCCCTCTTCCCAGACCAAAGGGACTATTAATTCTTGATTTGAACGGACTGAGGTGCGGCGAGAAACTGCAGCCCTAGGAGCCCAGACAACCACCTGGATGGTCCTTCGCCCCACCCCCACCTCCTCTCCCTACCTTTTCCAACGTGTTGCATGCCGGGAGTTGGGGGGTGGGGGAGATGCCGGCTTCAAGAGGCTGAGGTTTGGGAGCAAAATCAACCTAGGAGGCCACCCCGGCGGCGGCGGCGCCTCAGCGGAAGGATGGGAGGAGACAGAAACTCTTCTTACACTGGGGGAGGGGCACCTCCTCTTCCTTATCCTTAGGTGTTTTTGTTCCCCCCACCTTTTAATTTATTTGGTTGTTTCCAGAGGGAGGGGGGAGGGATGGGTGTTGGGCTGGGAGCTGTCTGAGGTGCTGATTTGAGGCCGGACCGGAATCCTCCCGGGAGGGTACCAGGGACTGGGTTGGGCCTGGTGCCGTGTCCAAGGTGCCAATGATGCGGGCCGACGGCGCGGGCTGCACTGTCTGTCTGTCCGTCTGTCCCGGAGAGAACTATAAAGCGCTGGAAGCGCCTGCAGATGGTTTTGCGCCGGCCTTTCTTTGGGCCCCAGGAGGGAGGGAGCGGGAGCAGGAGTGAAACTGTCACAGGCACGGCAGGAGGACCCCCACGGGCCTCGTGGGGAAGGTGGGTACCTGAGAACTGTTACTCTTTCCGTCCCCTCGCCCCCCGCATTGGCTTCCGTTTTACAGAGAGTAAAGTAGCCAAAGGTTGAGGCCTGGTGATAAAGCTGAATCCCCTCACCCACTCCACCTCCATCTTGTCTCATCTAGCTCTTCATTAATGCACAGGCTATTTAGGGATTACGTGATGAGGACAGCAAAAGTGGTTCCCTTTACAAAGTAGTCCACTGAAGCAGAACTAGCTCGTTATGATTGCTGCTTTTCTCTTCCTCCACCTCTCCCCACTATATATACTGTCTAGAGTCCAGTCAGGCCTAAGTCTCTGCTCACCACTCTCAGGTGGGGCCTGACTGTCACACTCAGCTCCACACCCTTCTTGCAACATGCTAGGTTGTTTCAAGGCCGTTTCAGTCACACACCCACCCAGGACAGCCTTGGGAAGTCCATCCCTGCTTAAGATTCAAACCTGGCCCCTTATCCCCAGGGAGGCTAGGTAGGACACAGGCAGCCTGGGAGACAGGAGCCATTCTTTGGGGTTGAAAGAACAGAAGTAAGCTCTTTAGCCTGAGATTCCTGTTCCATTGCCTTCTTAGCCACGTGGCTAAACGCCCCATTCAGTTTCATTGGCCCGAGGAGGCCTGGCTCCAGTAGAGCGCTGGCGTCTCTGACCCTAGTAGCCGTCCAGACATCAAGCAGCAGGAGTCAGAACCCCGCGAGGCCTGAAAAGACTAGGCCCGGGTTCGCTGTCCGTGGTGCTGACCGGCGCGCTTGGGCAGGGTGGGGGCTTGTAGGGGCAGGAGGAGTTACAGGCTCAGCTTCAACTAGGTTTTCCGGATAATTTGGGGAGTAGGTTGTGATCTCTTCTGGTGGCGAGTTGCAAGAGTCTGGCAGGATAACCTAGGATGCCGGCTTCCATTTACCCTCCTAAGAGGACAGAACGCGACTCTCCCTCGACCTCGGCCCAGCGCCCTTGCACCCGGCCTGGAGCCGGAAATCCCCAGTCCAGATTTGTGAATCGAATTCCCGGGGGGGGGGGGGGGGGGGAAAAGGGAGAGCAGGCGGAAGGGAAGGCGGGAGCAGCCGCCCATTGGCTGGAATTTGGCGCAGTCAGCGCGGTGCCGTCATCTCTCCGGGTTTGGGAGGAGGGAGGGAGGAGCACTCGGGTCACCCCGCGGCTGTCGCCATAGCAACCAGACTAAGCGGGCGGGGCCGCTTTCCACTCTCCCCACTCTAGCGGAGGAAACCATCCTAGTCTGCCTTATTTGGAACTAGTTAGCAAGACTACTTGGTTGGAACTTCTGCGTTAGAAGAGTATAAAGTGGGTGGGAAAGAGAGACGATAGTCTACCGAGACTCCCAAACATTCTGCTCTCTGTACTGCTCCTGAACCCATAGAAACAGCATCTTCCCTTTACTGCACACACACACACACACACACACACACACACCCGTCCAGGAACCTGTGGTCTGGCACTTGGAGACTTAGAATGAGAAAAAAAAAGCCTCAGTGCGTGGTGTCAAATTAAATCTCACTTTCCTTGCCATGCCCCCGAGGCATGAGACACTGCCATAATCCGATTAGGGGGTAAGCGACTGGAGGAGGATCAGCATGAATACACGGAAGAATTAGCCTCCTGGGTCAAACCTGGTCAGACTCCTGTTTTCTCTGGGAGGGGTGGTCACATGGGGGAAAGGTTCAGTCTTCTGAGAAGGCAAGGTGAGAAGGGAGAAGGTGCAGAAACAGTGTCAAGTGCCTTCTTTTTCTGCTCAGAAACGAACCTCACGACAGTGAGTCCAGGCTGAGGAGAGAAGTGGTGAAGAGGGCTCAGAATTCTAGAGAAAGCCCAGCCTGTGTGAGGGGTGGACTAAGGAAAGAATGGAGATGGAGGGTAGGAGACAAAAACCCAGATGGAGCCATGACTCAGCACTTCCCTTGGCAAAGGACCGGGGTGACTCTCCCAGCACAGGAGGAGCAGCAGAGAGGGGAGGGGAGCAGGAAAGCAAATGTGTGGATAAACAGTGATCTGGCCATTTGTTGCTTTGATATACAACCAAAAGCATACATTTTAACCCAGAAAGGAGATACATAGGCATTTACACTGATGAAGGCTCCTTCAGTCATGACATGTACACATCTCCACTGCCCACTTACTTGCCCCTCTTCCTGGAGCAGAGTACATTCTGTCCTGAGAGATATGCTTGCCTGTCCCTGGAATACCTTGGTACTTAATGGGAAAGGAGAAATGCAAAAAAAAAAAAAAAACAAAAAAAAAACCCTGCAGACGTGGGGGCGGGGGTGTTGGTTGTCATGGTAACTGCTTTGCCTGCCAGACAGAATGCCCAGCAACCAGAGCATCTGGCAATATCCAAGGGGACATCCTGTGGCCTCTACCCATGGAGACTCTGCCTCAGGCACCCAGATGGGCATCTCTGGAAGATTTCTACAACAGAGGCTGCCACAGCAGCCCTTCTAGCCACACCCCCATGAGGAAAGACAGCTGACAGCCAGGTATGGAGGGCTGACCATCTTCACATGTCCACTTTAAGTGGCACTCCTGACCCCTTGATACATGATAGACAACATTTGCTGTAAGTGGCCTCAAAACAGCAGGTGTTAACAGTTTAAGGACCTTTATTAAGACCATTACCTTCCTTCTCAGAACCTTGCTAAACACCCTACAGGAAGGTCACCTATAGCCCCAGACTATGTGTGTAAATGGGTAGAAAAATTGTTCTAGTTCAATGATGAAAGATTGGGTGCAAGATAGATAAACTGTAGGGGATAGTCTCAGGATTCAATACATTAGTTGACCTTAGTTTAATACATTGATGAGATTTAGAGGCAGTCTTTCTGTTGCACTTGCTGGCTGGATAGCTAACTTTTCACTCCAGCAGCCTCCACCCCTATTTTTTGTTTCTTCTTTCTTGTGTCTTCAGTTTAACCTCTTAATTCCTGCATTAACATTTTCCCAATCTAACTTAGGCTTTCATAGTTGGGGCCGGGGGGGGGGGGCCCCGGGGTTTCTTTAGTAATTAGCTTCTCCTAAGGTCTCTTTCTACTTGGATATATTGCCCACAGCAGTTACCCCCCTCTCTTAAGATTACTCCACTTCCATTTCTTTACGCCTCTTGGTCATAGCCTCCTGTGACAGATATTTAGCTTCAAGTCCATAAATCATAAAGTTTCTCTGTGTGCATTTTTATATATGACTACCTAAAAGGAAGCATTTTTATATATGACTACCTAAAAGGAAGGTGATGATAAACAATATAAATAGGGAAAGAGGTATTCCATTATAATCTTTCTACATTTAACTCCTTAAAAAAATTACATGTAATCCCAGAAAAACACAGAATATCAAGAAAGCATAAGAAAGAAGAGTAATGATGGAGGGCTTGCCCTGTCAGATATTTAAATGTATTAAAGAGCTAAGGTAGTTAAAATATATGGTACTGACATAAGAATAGACAACAGAACAAAATAGATAACCCAAAGCTAAACCCTGGCATACACGGGAATGTAATATATGATACAGGCATCATTTCAACTCCATTGGGAAAAGATGGATTAGTCAGCATATGGTTTTGTACAACTGGGTAGTCGTCTATATTAAGAAAAAAGGCCAGTCCTTCCTCATTCTTTATCCCCAAATAAATTCCAAATTGTTTTTTTTTTTCCAACGTTTTTTTAAATTTATTTTTGGGACAGAGAGAGACAGAGCATGAACGGGGGAAGGGCAGAGAGAGAGGGAGACACAGAATCGGAAACAGGCTCCAAGCCATCAGCCCAGAGCCTGACGCGGGGCTGGAACTCACAGACGGCGAGATCGTGACCTGGCTGAAGTCGGACGCTTAACCGACTGCGCCACCCAGGCGCCCCGGTTTTTT